ACTTACATGACTGTTGTAGGAAGCTTCTGTTCGTCCTCACCCAGCGGCTCTCTCCACAGAGGAGAGACGCACCATGTAGTAGCTCAATTTCCTCAGAGTGATGGTACAATGGCAAGGACAACAGGCTAACGATGAACTCATGGAATTTACTTCTAGGATGCTAAGAAATAAACGAAAATAAGTAAGACTGTGCCACCGAGGCAAGACATCATGAAGTAGAGATTATTGATTAGTCTGAGTGAAAAAAAAACTAGTACTAATACTTGATGCAGGAAGAGTTTTTACTACCAAATAAAGACAATAGTTAAGAAAAAAGTAGTGAGATAAAAGTGTATCTGTTGGTCAATGTTGGCTGTTGGTTGGGAAGACTCACAGAGTTGGGTCAATCGGTAAGAACACCTGCTCAAGGACTCTTCAAGTTGCTTCTTGGCTATCTCATAGCACAGTGAAAAATATTCAAGGGTAATGAGAAAGCCAAGTGAAAGCTGTGGTCTTTTTATGACCTATCTTCAGAAGCCAGGTATAATCACTTCCTTTATACTCCATTAATTTGAGAAGTCACAACCCCTCCCAGGTTCAAGGGGATGAGAAAAGACTCTGCCTCTTGAGGGGTGAGTAGCAAGTTTCTGGAATTCCATATGGGACCAGAAATATTGCTCTTGCTGTGTTTGAAGAATTCAATCTGATGCACAGTACTGTTGTTTAATTCACTGCTCATTGTTTTGATATTGTAGTATTTCTGAATTGCAATTTTCAACAGAGATAACATGTTTGATATAGTTTCCCCCATAGATATTCATCCCTTTGAGTGCACTGTCTGTCAATCAATTCTTTCTTATCCCCTATTCATCCTTCAAGATTTAGTTTGGCTAACATTTTATCTTAAACTCCCTCCCTATATCCCTGGCCTCCAAAGATCGCTCCTCTGGGATCTTTTAAAACTCTACTATTAGTAATATCTTCTTTCTGTTTTCCCAATATTATATTTTACTAACTTGAATACTCCTGTTTCTTCTGTTGGACTCTAAGCAATTTGAGGTCAGTTCTACATCAAATTTGTTTGTATATGTTCTTTGTTAAATGCCTAAAAATTAGTAGGAATGCTATAACTTCCAGTTAAATATTGAATGAATGAGACTGCAGAGATGCTTTGGGATCCTACTGCCAAAGACCTTGTATGTCAGATCGGTGTTCAGAATGTATCCTGGGCCAGTCTACTAAATCTTTGCCTTCGTGAATTAATGATGAGCATTTATTTTGATGGCATTAATCAAAGAAGGATGATAGAACTAACATGATGGCAGGATGATATAGGATAAGCCAAGTATAGGAGGCAGGGTGTTGCTGATGATCCATAAAAGGGCAACAGCAACTGTCTCAAGCAAGGTATTATATGCAGGTAGAGAAAAAGATTCAATGAGCCTTAAAATCTAGTTGCAATCATATGATGCATTAAGCATTTTTTTTCTAAAGGGCTGTGTCTACACTGTCAAGACAATTTCTAAACTAAGCAATTCCTGACCTGATTTTTGGAAGCTGATGAGTCACATACTTATAGACTTAGAGGCTTTACTGGTGTAGGTCATTTGTAATGCTCAGTGCTTGTAGTTTAAATTAGCATGGCTTTTACAGATCCCTTAATGTGCATAATCTGACCCAATAGTGAGATGGTTTTAAGAAAGATAGAGTTTAGGGAAAAATATATATGAAACGATTTTTGAAGATTTCCCAGGTGCTAGCAGACTAATTTAAAGGACCTTAACTGAATTCTGATCAGAACCTCTCCAAATATCTCTGTCACATCTAAATGTGGCCATCTGGCCACTCCATTGTAATATTTTCAAATTGTGACCAGCAATGGAGATGTTGAATTTGGGCTCAAACCCGAGTTTACTCTGTAAAAGAGAAATTGTCAGTGATAGAAAGGAGAACAAGTTTGATTGGCATTTCCTTAGTAGAGAATCCGTGAACACATCAAACACATGATTTTATGTGTATGTGAAGAAATAATGCTTTTATTCCAAATAACTATTTAGCATTCATATATAGTATTTTGATGAAAAAATGATATTCAGTTAGAACCCATTGTGATCTACATAATGTAGAGATATAAAGAGAAATAGTTATTACTCTTAAGACACTAACATAATTTGAAATACAAAATACATGAGAAATTAGAATCCACAGCAGTGCCTGATTATCATATACAGCAGTACTATTGAAACACTAAACTTACAAGACGTTTTGAACAAAAGAGAACTGAGGCTACTTCAGCCAAACACTATACATAATTTCATCTATCACAATAATGCTTTAAGGTATTATCCCATTTTCAAATGAGAAAACTGAACGCATGTGTTTGAAAAAAGCTCAAATTGGAGCTTGATTCTCACTCCAGAGATATTTATTTTTCTAATTTGCCATCCTGTCACTTATTTTTTTTTTTTAATGATAGTATGGAGTGACAGTATGAGCAATATAGACAGTATGAGTGATATAGAAATGAATATTTTTGGAATATCACCTTTTTTTTTTTTTTTGAGACTGAGTCTCGCCCTGTCGCCCAGGCTGTAGTGCAGTGGCGCGATCGATCTCTGCTCACTGCAAGCTCTGCCTCCTGGTTCACGCCATTCTCCTGCCTCAGCCTCCCTAGTAGCTGGGACCACAGACGCTCGCCACCACGCCTGGCTACTTTTTTTTTTTGTATTTTTAGTAGAGACAGGGTTTCAATGTGTTAGTCAGCATGGTCTAGATCTCCTGACCTCGTGATCTGCCCGCCTCGACCTCCTAAAGTGCTAGGATTACAGGTGTGAGCCACTGCACCCGGCCAGATACTTAATTTTTAAACAAACTGAAATCAGTTTGACTTCATACCCGAGGTAGAAAATTAGCCCAGCCTTGAAAGATGAGTAAGTTTGGAGAGGTGAAAATGCAGATAGTAAAACGGGGAGAAAGACATGATTGAACAAATGCAGATGGGAAAGAATTCAGATTGTTGATAAGCAGGTCTATGGGAGTCAATGGGAATCCTTCCCCCCACATCAACGATCAAATAAATGCGTTGTTTAGGGCAATAAAGAGGTAAATAGTTTGAAAGGGAGGTAGTGCCCATGGAGGGTCTTGATATCAGTTGGTACTGTAAAAATGTGTATATTTTCTCTTGACAACATATTCTTTTATTTTTCTTTTTTCACTAAAGGTTATTTGATATTACATAGTCTAGTGGATGTACAAGTCTTTATATTGCACATGAACTGGAGATGAAATATTACTTTTAAATTTTTAAGATTAAGGTATTACAATTAATGGCAGCATTGAAATGAAGAGTAATGACAGATTCAAATGTAGGACTGGTTCCCACAAGCGCCAAGCCCACTCTTTATAAGTCATCATGGAATCAAACCTTTGCCAAGCTATGTTTCTATGTCTGCCTTTTGGGAGGACTTGCCAGGTAAAAACATCTAGGTCAAAAGTAACTCACTGTAATATACAGTGAGGGGACAAAGGGAAAATGAGTCCAAGATTCCATTCTGTTCTCACCATTATCATCCACCTACCCTAGATCCCCAACCACCCCTACCAACTGCTGGGCCCAACAGTTCCATGCTATAACTACAGCAAAACATCCCACTTTTCAGTTCACAAAAACACGTAAGTACCTTCAACTCTGGGGGTACTTTAGATACCTGAACCGTTCTTCTCTCCTTTCCTAACAGAAAAATCTAAAGTCAGCTAAATGTTCTTTGTTTTAGCAAGCTTTATTAACCTATTCTCCTACCTGAGTATCTTCATATTGGTGCATACCTATTAAAGTCTTTATCTATTGCATAACATTCACTTTTTTTCTGCCCAAATCTGAGTCCCTTGGAAATGGCTAATTTTGTTAATTTTTTTTTTTCTGTCCTCATCCTCAGTGTTTTGCTGATGTTTTAGAATAAATAAATGTTCTGAAGTCTGTGAAAATCTCTGTATTTTAAATCACAATGTTTGAGAGAAAATTCTAATTGGTAAAAATACATACGAAATATAGAAGAAAATCATTCATTTATTTTTTTTTAGTAAGATGATTTCTGAATGGGAATCTTGAAGAGATGAACTGGAAACCTGAGACCCTTAAGAAATATTATAGTTTTGTTGTCCGTCTTAGGCAAAGTAAAAATGAAATCTGCTAGCCTGGGTTTTCCAACAGGCATGTATGGGAAGGAGGCAATGAGGAATAAGAGAGAGAAGATGAAGGAAATTCCAGCAGGAAAGTAACATATTTAGCTCAAGCAGAGAGAGCTCTTAAGTTAATGAGATGCCCTACATGCTCTCAGCTTATGTTACTCGTGGAGGAACTGGGTATAGCTCTGAGTCTGGAGGCAGTGCAGGAAGCCACAGGATACCCCATCGCCACCCCTCAATAATCATATTGGTAGCACAGAGGCGCCTTTTTGATGTGGCTTCTGCCATGGAGCAATACAAAGACACCTAAATATGACTGACTCCAACACACAGGATTGCAGGCTCCCTCCTGGCTTCCACAACATAAATGGCCTTTCAAGCAGCAGGAGCTTGGGGGACCAGGCTGGCTTTTGACAAAACTGTAGAATCAGCCAACCTGTCTTCGGCACCCTCCCATCACTCACTTCCATTTCCATGCTGTTTCCCTCTCCTGGAGCTCAGTGCTCTTTCCCTGCTCATCTCTTGCCCTCAGGCAGGGAGTCATCCAGTTGCAGATATATGGATTCAGAAACTGGAGCTCTCCTTCTCAGCCTACTGGCTAGGTTTCCTTGTTCAATCTTTGACATCTCTGTTCCTGGGATTTTTTAAAACACACACAAATAAAAGAGTGACACAGAGAGGACCTCTAAAGAATCTTCTGTCTCTTCTTGTTTAGGACATTATTTGAATTAATGGTGAAGGTGAAAGTCTCACAGTAAAGCCAGCCCATTAGTGCATTGTTATTGGTTTAGAATTAATTTACTTTATTTCTTTCTCCTCTCTTTTTCCACCACTAGGAACTGCCTTTGAAGCTCAGACCCACCGGTCTACTACTACTACTCTTCATGCCTCTTCACTGGAGGAAATATAGGAGTCATCCAGCATCCAGGAAGGAAACTCAGAGGGTGGGGGTGAGTCAAAGGGACCCAACCGGGCTTGTTCTGTGGAGGGCTGAAGCCAAATCCACCAACTACTCAAGGATCTGTTCAAAATTGGAAGCATGAAATAAACAGTACATCCGTATTGAGGAAAGGAAGATGGGGTGAGAAAGTAAGTGTGGGGAACTAAATCAGTGTGGGTAATAGGCCAGGGTGAAGAAGAAAAAGGCAGAGCACACAGCAGCTGGTCTGGGGTCCACAGTAATATTCAGGATTTTTCCCCGTATAGATGAAATTGCTGCTTCAGAATTATTTCTCAAAGTGAGTTAATTATTTTTCTCCCATGTTGATACCTACAACCAGGTTTCAGGACAACTTGCTGGTGGAGCGTGAGCAGAAGGGGTTAGACGGTTCTGCCCTTCTGGAGCAGGTGTCTGACCGCAGCAATTCTGGAGCATCTGAGTCTGTCCTGAAGCTACCTCTTTGAGGTGACAGATGACTCAGCCAGGGGCCAGATGGAACAGGGATTTTATAAGCCTGGCTTTATTTTTTTGTTTCTTTTCTTTTCTTTTCCGTTGTTTTTTTTTTTTTTTGCCTTGCCTTCACCTCTTTGTTTCCTCACCAAAGTCAGCAGCATGATGTCACTGAGCACAGGTTGGGAGAGTGGAGTCAAGGTTAAGGTATAGCAGAAGAAATCATCATGACTACTCTCTCTTCCCACATCACACTCGATGGCTTACTCTCCAAATGAAGAGCTATGAATATCTAACAGGACAAATAAGCCACGGGCCTGGAGCTCAAGACTTTTTGGTGACTTAGGGATACAAGCTTAAATTGATAGTAAGGATGCCAGTCTAGGACAAACGTTCTCCTCCCTAGGTAGTCATCAGTTTGGCTATCTTCATTGGAAAATTGTCTTCGGTAGCTCTCATAAAAAATGGAACAGGAGATCAAGACCATCCTGGCTAACCCGGTGAAACCCCGTCTCTACTAAAAAATACAAAAAAACTAGCCGGGCGAGGTGGCGGGTGCCTGCAGTCCCAGCTACTTGGGAGGCTGAGGCAGGAGAATGGCGTGACCCCAGGAGGCGGAGCTTGCAGTGAGCTGAGATCCGGCCACTGCACTACAGCCTGGGCGACAGAGCGAGACTCCATCTCAAAAACAAAACAAAACAAAACAAAACAAAAAACAACAACAATAAAAAGGAACAGGGTGCAGATGTTGGTTTGACAGTTCTGACACAGAAACACCTTTCTCGTCTGGCAACCTAATTTCTCAGGGATTGAAGGAAGTTCATCAACACTTTATAAAGTTCCTTGGCAAGATTAAAAGTTGTTTGAATCAGGCCCTGAAGGTTGATCAATAGCTGCTGGTCTCCCTTTTCAGCACAGAGGCCTGCTTTTTTTTTTAAATCTCTGCCAGGGTCTGAAACCTGATAGGGATCATCTTCATACAGCTGAAACAAATGTTCTATCATGCATGGTACTGTATTCCCTCCCTCTCCCTCTTTCTCTATGATCCAATAACTTTGCTGTGGATAAGGTTGGTAAGACATCATCTGAATTAAGTAGTCAAATTAAATATTCTGAGCACAGGCAAATGGTAATAATGTGCCAAGTGATAAATTACAATTAGAGGAACACAGTGTCTTTTCTGTGAAATTCCTTCTAAAAATACATAACCTGAACATTTTCATGAAGAAAAAATGTCAACAAAACTCAAATTGAGGACATTAACAAAATAATTGGCTTGCAATCTTCAAAAATATCAAGGTCAGACAAGTCAAGGAAAGACTGAGGGACTTTTCTAGATTGAAGGAATCTAAAGATACATTATAACTAAACCAACTCATGATCCTGCATCAGAGCCTTTTGCCAAAAAGGGAACTATTGGTACAATTGGCAAAACTTGAATGGGCATCTGTGTATTTGCTAATGGTAATATATCCATATTAATTTCCTGCTTTCCTGCTCTTACAGTGGTTATGGAGAATATCCTTGTTTGTAAGTGAAACTTAAATATTTGCAGATGATTGGCTAGAACATCAACAACTTACTCTCCAGTGATTCAGGAACATATTTTTGGCTTTTTTTGTTTGTTTGTTTGTTTTGAAACGGAGTCTCGCTCTGTCACCGAGGCTGGAGTGCAGTGGTGCCATCTCAAGTTTAAAAAGCTAAAAAAAAAGTCTCTATTCATAGACATAATGGTTCCAGGTGTTAAAGTTCCTTTAAGGGTCCCCTGTCCTTAAAAAGAGAATAACTTACGTGGGGTTAATGTGCATTTATTTTAGAAAGCAAATATTTAATATTAGGAAAATAGAATATTTTCATCGAAAGACCACTGAATTGGGATATCTGAGCCTTAGTTTCTTACTCGGCATGGGCAGAAGCATGTGTGACAGTTTACCCCTGACACTTAGCTTCCACTCATGTACATGGTTGACCACTCTCAAGCTTTGACAGAGAAATTTCACATTAATTGACAGAAATTAAAGTGCTTAAAATACCCCCACAGAAATAAAGTATCATTCTTTTTTGAGAAAGATATTTTAATTGATTTTTAGATAAATAAGAATGGATATGTTTTAACCTTCTTTCTAATGTAACTGAATTTATTTCTTACTTTTATATTTTGTGTATAGACACAGACTCAGGTTACTGTAAGTTCTGTTTTCAAAAACAAATGGAGTTGCCCTGTTTGACTAACATTTAAGACGTGGGGCTTAATGGTAAAGTTGCACTCATCTCTCATTTGCAACAATGACAGAGGAATCCACAAATACTCAGATTGTCCATGTAAATAATGTGCTTTCCTAACCTCTTTGTTATAGAAGAATCATGGATTGAAAAGATGACTAAGAGAGGAAAAGAGGTTTATCAAACTAATTACATCAAAGGGAGCTGAAGTTACCCTGTTTCCGTTCTCAATCAGAAAAGTAATATTAGTCATCTGAGAAAAGTGATTCCCCTACCCACACTGCCAGGCAACCGCATATTTGCTTTAGGCACCATAGATCAGTTGACATTTCCTAAAGTTTTATAGAAATCACATAATATATTATGTATTCCTTTTTCTTTGCTGGCTTCTTTCATTCAGCATAATTACTTTGAGATACGTCCAGTTTGTATATATTGATAGTTTGTTTTTATTGCAGGTAAGTATTACACAGCTATACCAAAATGTGTTATTTCATTCACCTCTTGAAAGACAACTGAGTTGTTTCCAGTTAGGGGGCTCTTAGAAATAAAGCTTCTGTGAACGTTCATTTACAAGTTATTCATGATCATGTAATTTTTTTCTTTTCGTTAAACATCTAGAGATAGAATGGCTGAATCATATGGTATGTATATGTTGAACTTTTTAAGAAACTGCCAAAGTATTTTCACTGGCAATGTATGAAAACCCCAGTTTCTTCACATTCTCACCAAACTGGATATACCTCAGCCTTTAAAATGTTTGCCAGTCTCACTATTCACAATAGCAAGGACTTGGAATCAACCCAAATGTCCATCAGTGACAGACTGGATTAAGAAAATGTGGCACATATACACCATGGAATACTATGCAGCCATGAAAAAGGATGAGTTCGTGTCCTTTGTAGGGACATGGATGCAGCTGGAAACCATCATTCTCAGCAAACTATCGCAAGAACAGAAAACCAGACACCGCATGTTCTCACTCATAGGTGGGAATTGAACAATGAAATCACTTGGACTCTGGAAGGGGAACATCACACACCGGGTCCTATTATGGGGAGGGGGGACGGAGGAGGGATGACATTGGGAGTTATACCTGATGCAAATGACGAGTTAATGGGTGCTGACGAGTTGATGGATGCAGCACACCAACATGGCACAAGTATACATATGTAACAAACCTGCATGCTGTGCATATGTACCCTAGAACTTAAAGTATAAAAAAAAAAAAAGTTTGCCAATCTGACAGGTAAGTAGTAGTAAACGTTTGTGGTTTTAATTTTGCATTTCTCTAATGACTAATGATGTTAAGAGTCTTTTCCTATGGGTATCTGCTTTTTATACACAGTCTTTGGTGAAATACCTGCTGAAATATCTTACTTATTTTTTAAGCTAGGATGTTTGGTTTATTATGGAGTTTCAAGAATTATTAATATAGATGTAAGTCAGACATTGTACATATGTCTTGTAGATATTTTTACTGAGGCCATAGATGGCCTTTTCATTTTCTTAATAGTGGCTTTTGAAAAACAGAAGTTAATTTTTGTGTGTAATATGAGACATGTATTATTATTATTTTTATTATTATTATGCATATAACTATTCAATTGTTCCAGCATCCTTTACTGACCTTCTTGGGTTTCCAAATAGATAAAATGCAAGTCTCAATTTCATCAAATAAATTTCCAAGTTGCATTACCATTATATTTTACTTTTAGTATATCAAATACTCTTTACAACTGTCTTCTGAAGCACTCAATTAAAATAGAAATGTATTACAGGATTTTGGCATGGTTTTATAAGGTAATACATAACTTACCTTTGAGAGTATTGTTCTGAAATTAATAACCATTAAAAACACTATGCGTGTCTTTTTTCTTTCATATTATTATTTTTACTCTTTTTTATTTTTAATTTTTTTTAAATCACCTTTTATATTCAGAGGGTACATATGCAGGTTTGTGATCTGGCTGTGTTATGTAATGCGGAGGTTTGGGCTTCTAGTGAACCCATCGTTGAAACAGTGAACGTTATAATAAATAGGTAGTTTTTCAACCCTGTTTCCTCTCCCAGCCTTCCCTCTTGCGAAGTTTGCAAAGTCCATTTTTAAAATCTTTATGTGTATCCACTTTTAGCTCCCATTTATGAGTGAGAACATACAGTATTTGGTTGTCTGCTTCTGAGTTATTTCATTTAAGCTAATGGCCTACAGCTCCATCCATGTTGCTGCGAAAGACATGGTTTTATTCCTTTTATGGCGGCATAGTATTCCATGTGTATATGTATATTCATACTATATATATTCATACTTTATATATGATATAGATATATCTATATCATACTTTCTTTACCCAATACACTGTTGATGGGCACCTAGGTTGATTCCATGACTTTATTATTGTGAATAGTGCTGCAATAAACACAAGACTGCAGGTACGGGTGTCCTTTTTGAAACAATTACTTTTCCTTTGGCTGTATACTTAGTAGTGGGATTGTTGGATTGAATAGTAGTTCTATTTTTAGTTCTTTGAAAATCCCCATACTGTTTTCCATTGGAGTTGAACTAACTTACATTCTCACTAACCGTGTATAAGTGTTACCTTTTCTCTGCAACCTTGCCAACATCGGGTATTTTCTGAGTTTTTAATGATAGGCACTCTGACTGGTGTAAGATGATATCTCATTTTGGCTTTAATTTGCATTTCTCCGATGAGTAGCGATGTTGAGCATTTTTTCATATTTTTGTTGGCCGCTGTATGTCTTCTTTAGAGAAGTGTCTGTTCATGTTCTTTGCCTGCTTTTTAATGGGGCTATTTGTTTTTTCTGCTATGTATGTTTAGTGTACTAAAAAATCAGTAACACACTGTTATCCACAAGAGTATGCCCACAGTAAATGCTTTTAGACTGTTGAAATGTCGTGGTTTTTATGCATGTACTGAGTGTTCTATCTCTTCCTCATGGTCAGAGTGTCAGTTACAATTCTAAAATGCCTCAGTGTTCCTGTACTTAGCACAGTTAACTGAATTTTATTTCTTTATTTGGGATTTCAGATCCTCAATAGTTAAATAGTAAACATCATATGCAAAATTTAATGAAGTTTTTAAGAAACAATATACAGGTTTAATGCAGAGATTGTATAATAGCCTTAATGGGAACTTTTTTTTTTTTCCTACTTTTCTAGTAGAATTTAAGCTGGCTATCTACCCAAATCTTGACTTGACCATATCTG